CCACTGGCCCCGCCGCCTCCACCCCCACCACCGCGACTGCCACCACGTCCTCCGCCTCCGTCGTCAAGGAGCGTGCGCCCCCACTTGTCATCCGACCCGCACCGTTGTCGCCAGCCAGAAAGAACAAACTGGTAAGTACCAAGGCCCTGAAGCGTTTGATCTGCTGTTTAGCCGAGATACTTTGGCCTTTGAGAGAAGTCATCAGTCGCAATGCAATTTCGTGTCGTTTGCTGTGCAGATCCTGCAGACGTTGATGGCTCGGCGCTCTCGTTGGGGAGGTAGGGAAAGCCCAGAATGTCGAGCGGTCCAAGACCAAAGTCTTTTGTTTGAATACCAGGACAAGGAAATGGTGTGCCCGTTGTGCCATCGTTTCTTCTTGGGATTAATGTCTCTCCAAGCTCACATTGCCAGCAACCACAAGCAGGAGCAAGTGGGGCGTAAGTAGCAATTTTTTAATACCGGTATAATTATTTTTATAGACATGAGATTTATCTCTCAATTTTTTATATACGTTGTAAATAGTAAAAAAGGGCACCATATTTCATTTCGTAGTATTACCAAAAATGTTTATCTTGAATAGAAACTGCACGGCAACCTCGGCCTCGCAAATCTTTAGCCAGTTTGCTTTCATCAGCACCTCGTGCAAGCATTGGAGCTCCTCGACTCTTATGTAGTCATTGTCGAGAGCTTCTGCCAGATGAAACCTCCTTGGCACGACATGTCAAAGAGGCTCATTCTCCAACATCTGCTGGCCATCCCTCAATTGCATCTGAGGGAACATCAACCCCTGACAAGTGAGTATTTACTGCTGTGGTTGTAATCCATGGGAGTGAAAAATTATTGTAGATAAAATAATTATATTGGAAGATGAATGAATAAGCATGTATTCCTGGGAACACTGTTTTATAAGCAATATCTGCCTACCATTCATAGAAAAACCTCTAATATATTAGGGATTTTTTTAAAGGTAAAAAATAACTACCTTTCTTGTTTGTTATTTGTCTTTTAATATTTAGAAAATTTTCCATTTTATAAGAAAGCAATGAATATGTGTTAAGGTTGTATAATTGCTGACACACTAGCTTTATTGTAATAAAGCACAAGAAATATGGTTGAAATTGCTCCCCACATCCAAGAGTTATACTGGAACAAACATACATAGTCTGAGATATTAAGATTGTTTCAGTCTTACCATTTTTTGATGTTGACTTTTTACATTTTTTGTGAAATTTTAATGTTCTATTCTGGAACTTATTATAAGATGGTATTGTATTTTTGAAAGTAGATCTTAAATAATGTATTACAGTGTTCAGCAATGATAAGATGATGATATTTGACTTACAAGATGTTCTTATCTGTCAAATTCTCCAAATTGTAATTTTTCATGAAATATGTTTTCATTTTCTCTTTATGAGAAGAAACTGAGTATTCAAGTGAAATGAAAGGTTTGTAAAGAATTGATGAAAATGAATTGACTTTTGAACAACTTTGTCTGTAGGCCCACTAGTGCTGATCCAGGTGCAGCTGGTCTGCGCATCCAAATGTCGAATGCCCTGGGAAGCCTGTTTGACCGCGCTTTGAGCAACGTGCTGGGCAAAGGGAAACGGCCTGGCGTGGCCCCTGACAGTGCCAGGTGAGGCCGTTGATTTCTCACTTCTACAATTGCTTGCTCTTATTTTCTTACTTATGGATCGTATTTTCTCAGTTGACTTAGTGGTGCTTTTGAAAGTACATTGTCATTCAGATTTTCAGTGGTGAATGGTAGTGACAAGAAGGGTTGCTTGCATTAGGACTTTTTCTAAATTACATTATAATGGTAATATTTCATTACACGAGTTAAATTCTTTAAGGATTCCTCTTAAACTTTTAATTAGAAGCTGGGTAAAAATTCTTAATCACTTTTTTCAACCTGGTGTTCCAAACCCCTTACTGGTTTTTGCATGGTTGGCATGACAATGTTAGGGCATTATTATAACTTTTCATTTCCATTACTGCTTTTAACCTTCTATTTCCTTTCCATGTGCTTTATCACCTTCGCTAGTCGCTGATCCTGCTTCGAGCTTCAGTGGCGTTTCACAATGCATTTTTTGTATCCAACTGGCAAATGCAGTATATTTTTAAATCTACATGAACACTGGTTTGTGAAGCATACTGAAAATGTGAATTTCCTACGAACAGAATGTGCTACTTCAGAAATAAATATGATATAAAAAATATATTTTGAAAAATAGAAGTTAAGAGTGTATGTAGGGGAGAGGAAAGAGGGAGAAAATGTAGCATTGTATTAAAAAAAATAAGGATTGACTTTTCTTTGCATTGCCTAACTCTTTTAAAGAATGTTATGCTTATCCGAATTCCACGTTTCCAAAAAAAAAAAAAAAAAAAAAAAAAAAAAAAAAAAAAAAAAAAAAAAAAAAAAAAAATATTTTCATGACGCCGATCTAAAAAAAATGGTATCTCGTGAATTATAAGGAGTTGTTTGGAGTGAGCCATCGCAGCTCTCGTGTTCATGTTGATGGACTCGTATGCTGCATCTGGCAAGTTGGTTACGGAGGCGAGTCGGCCGGAGCGGAGCTCGGAGGCGAGGGCGGAGGCCGCAGAGCGAAGGCTGACGGCAGTGCTCGCCTGTGCCCGTAGCCTCAACCAGCTGAGCCTGCTGCAAATGACGCTGAAGCGCGGAGCTACAGCCGCCAAGGCTGCGGCGGCCGCCGCCAAGGCCTCGCCCGGCCTCGCTCCCACCGCCACCGCCACCGCCACCGTCACTTCCATCTCTGCGGCCGCGGCGGCGCCGCCGGCACCCGCCGCTGTCGGGGACGCTAGTCTCGAGGGCGCCCCCAACGTCGCCTCCGGCCCGGGCCACGGGAGCGGGCGAGAGGCGCGACGCGGCAGCCTGGTGGGCGACGCGGACGACCCCGACGGCAAGGAGAGCGGGGCGGAACCCGACCGGCCCTTCGCCTGCCCGTCGTGCGACGACCGCTTCTTCACCCTCAGCTCCCGCAACCGCCACATCGCGCGCGTGCACGCCCGCTGGCTGGGCCCCCAGCCGCAGGCCCAGGCCCAGGCCCAAGCGGCGGCCGGCGGCCCCGGGGCCCGCCCCGCGCGCCCTCGCCCCCGCACAGGCTCCTCGCCCGACAACCAGAGCGACGACGACCCGGACGACGTGGAAGGTGAATTCTCTTGCCCGCTTCAGTTTCTACTATGAAATGGATCTTATCTGGCATTGGAGATTTTGCAATGACCTGTTCATAAATCTGCAATTTGAGAACTTGACACGAGTGAAACTTGCAATTATAGTGGTTTCTTGTTTAACTGACTCTTCCGTAGCCGTTTTCTTCGAATGTTTTGTATAACAATCCTTATTTCTAAATTTGTGGTTTCAGAGTTCTATAAAAATTATTATTCTTTTAAAAATTGTCCTCGTTTTAGTAATATCAGATGACTGACCTAGAGCAAATGTAATAGCAGTGTACGTGATTACTTAAGTATACAGAAATGACATACGAGCACTTGAATATTCTTTGTGTAATAAAATGGGTATACAAGGTTGCATGATAATTTTGCATATTTTACTATTTTCTGTCTGGTAGTAACAGTACATTTGTGTGTGTTGCAGGCTGGAGAGACAGCCCAACTGATTGGAGTATGGACCCAATTGAATGTGAAGATGGTGCTGGAAGTTTCCTCTGTTCTGGTGGGTTTCATCTCTTTTATACCTACTGCATCTTTTACATTTTACTGCTTCAATCCCTCTTTTTATGAAATCACAGTGTGTAAGAGATTACTTGAACATTCAGCATTTAAATATTTTTATTATGAATGCTGCCGCAGGAAAACTTGTCCTGAAAATGTATGAATGATTTAGTGTTAGTTTTTGGTTTGTTGAGCAACATTTCTACAGACATTATAGCCCAAATTTAAATTAAGCATGATGCATCAATCAGATGCTCATAATGTAGAATATATTTTATGAACCATTTTTGTTAGCACGTGCTTGCCATTGAGTGTTAAAAGAAACTACAACGTTTCAAAAAGTGCCTTTATGTTGGTATCTCTTTTATGTTACGTAATCACTGGGGATAATGGCCATTTATTTTTCAATGAAATATGGGAATAAATCCTACATTATTGAACAGTAGTGGAAAGGATTTTAAAACTTGTATCATTTCTCTCAAATGGGTTAATCAATCCATTTATTACAGTATCATTGTATTTTCTTAATAATTTCTAAATCAAATGTCAAAGGAAATCAGTTCTAGGTATCATATTGGGAATAACTGACTTTAGAGAGTTAAATTTTATGTACATAGGATCAATTTGAATTTCTTTCATTTCTTGTTACAGATTGTGGGATAAACTTTGAGAGCCCCCAAGATGTCCTTCGTCATCGGCGATTAGAACATTCTTCTCAAGATGTTACATCTAATATATCAATTGATCAAGAAGCACCTGGAAGCCCCAAGCCCAGTGCAGAATGTGTTACTGATGAACATGGAGGAAGTTCTGTTTCTGAAGCACATACTTCTCAGGAGATTGTAACAGGAGTAATATCTCATTTATCTAACCTGGTTTCTAAAGCAACTTCAGATGATAGTGCACGACGGCCAGATAAAACATACAGAAAAGATAATGATCATGCTGAGGCTTCTGGTCCAGTAGAGGCAGATGGCAATATTGTATCACTGACACAAATACAGGTCTCTAGAGAATCAACAATTGTTGCTGATTCTCCCTTGTCTTCTATTAGTGATATGTCAATTGTTAAGACTAAAGTTGCAATATCAAAGACTCCATCCAATTCATTCCATGTAGATTCTCAACCAAAGAAAAAACAAGTCAAATTAGATTTACCTAAGAAAAAAGAAAGATTATCAAGAAAGGCTTTACATTCTGGTGATATGGATGATGAAGCAGATATTGAAATTAGAGCTCGAGCGGAGGCAGCTTTGAGGGAATTAAATCGTCACAAGGCCAGAGGTAGCTCTGGATCAGGCTCGAAATGGGGCCTGACTTTCACTGTCACAGAATCACCCAATAAGCAGGGTGGTGATTCAGAGGGCTCTCTTGAAAGAAAAAACATTGCTAATGCAAGTAATAGATTTAATCTCCCATTGGTGAGAAAATTGCCTTTAGGAGAGGGTCGTTATGCCTCTCTGGTAGAAAAGAAAAAGAAGCACTCGTCAGTCTCTGCAGATTCCAAAAAGACCCCTCCAGGAGACAGCCCTGAAACTGTCTCTGACCCTAACTACTTAGAAAAGTCGTCTTTAGATATCTATGAATTTGAAGAGGAAGAAGTCAGTCCATCTGTTGACTTTGGATTGAGAACTTCGCAAACATCAGTTGAAGAAAAAGCAAAATCAAAAGAAGCACCAGAAGTACAACCATTTTTTCCTGTTAATGGTGAGGTAGAAAGTGAAGGAGGGTTGGAAGAAGTAGTGGCTGAAAGCAAGGCTTTAAAATCTGGTTTAATCTCCAAGGACATTCCAAAGAAAGCATTTGAAATGGAACCTAGTTGTTCTACTGAGAATTCAATGTCTGCACTTTCATCTGAAGATAGTTCTTCTTTGCCTGTAGCATCAAAAGATAATGATCTTCTGGAATCCTCTACTAGTGTGTCAGACATGGACTCTACATCTGAAAATTCAAAAGAATCATTTAATTTATCTGTAAAGCAGAAAATGAAATCAAAATCAAAGAACGGTGAATATTCTCAGGCAAACAGTGTTGTGACTGGAAACAGAGAATTGTGGAGAACTTCGCGAAGGAAATGTGTTCAGGAATCACAATCTGAAGAGACAAGTGATGATATCTGTGATGAAAGCGATGATAGCATGGTTCAGAAAACTGATGAAATTTCTGGTGATCTTTCTAGTGACTCTTGTAATTCCCCAAAACTCAATTTGCCTACTAGAGAGTCCCAGCCACATAAACGTCATAAAAGTGAAAGTGAAACTAAAGTGCACCGTGTGTCAAAAAATGACAACCTATCAGATCGATCTTCTGTACCAGCATCTCGCAGACGTCGAGCTAAATCAGACTTATTGATATCTATTTTTGCTAAATCAAAGCGTAACTTTATGACAAATAGTATTATTTCAAACTCAAAAAGCTTTGTAAATATTGAGCCCCCTAGTGAGGATATTAGTAGTGATGATAGTGAACAGAGTGGTGTGGTTGAAAAGAACGTTGTGTCTTCACAAGTTCTTTGATGTTGGTGTCGTGATTGTTCCAAATAGTGAATTTAATTTGAAAGTCGTGTATGTGGTATTGTTTTTGTTTTTTTGTTATAAAAAACTTCAGTGAGTCAAACATTGTAAATGAGAGAGAGTTATGTGAATAATAATCATGTATATCAAAACTATTTTTAAAATATTACAGTGTAAAAATACATAATATCTGCTATGAGTTTATAATTTTTCATCAGAGGTACTATCTTGTGTAGGTGAGAGATAAATGTAAGTGCTGCCTGTTACATAGTTCATAGTCAAAAAGACCTTTTATATGCATATTGGATTATGTGTGAATGTTCTAGTTTATTTGAAATTGTGCATCTTTATTATAAACTTCCCACAGAGTGAACTTCAGTTGTATGTAACATTTTTATTGTAGAAGAAAATAATGCAATGTGATAGTACTGCAAAGGAGAGATTTATCAGTGTGTGAAGCAGGATTTGTGGTCCTGCTTAGTTCATTTATTGTATATTAAGTCACACTTTAGATACATTATATTATATTTAATGTAACAGCAACATTACTGCCAAAATGTGCCTTTTTTATATAGATTGACTTTAAGATTTCGCATTTATAGAGAAGTTCTGTGAATAGTATTTTGCAAGTTCCAAGATCCATGAAAATCAATATTGTGTTCAACAATGCATTTTTCCTTGACCATTGTCAATATTCTGCCATTTCTAGACACAAGGAAAGTGAAAACATGCAAGTTTATGAAAGGAAACTTGGATTATTTTTTCAGTCTGCTAAAAATAAACAAAATAAATTGTGGGTTAACTAGTAATCTGTACATGGTGTGTTTGTGTATTGTCTGTTGTGCACTCGTATAAAATTTCTGTCTTTTTCAACTTATGTCTATAACATATTTACTTATGTCTTAACATTCAGTGAAAAAGTTAAGTAAACTTCACATTTTCCCATACGGAATGCAAAGTTTTCTGATTTTCGTAATCAATCGTATTCGGCAGCATCATGCTGTTTAAACTAATGTGCTGGTGTTAAAAAGATAAAGGTTGCATATATTCAGTTTAGTTTTATATTTGAGCAACAAGCACATTCCAATGTGACTGTTCAATGACTGATGTATTTAGATTCAGTCAAGTAAAGTAGCAAATGTATTGATGTAATGGGTTTGATATTCACTGCCCCGGAAAAATGGTCACATTTTTAGAGTAAGCTACGTAGGACATTTCAATTAGTTTCTTATCTTTTTGTGCTTTATTTATTTTTCTTGGTTTCAGTGCAAAACCTTTATATATTATTCATACAATGTGCCAGAATAAACTGCAAGCAGTAAAATTATTTGTATCAACCTTCTTGATAAAACTTGAATTTGTTACAACTGTATTGTTAGGCAAAATTGCAATGAACATGTGATTCTTTCATGCCTAGAATTCCATTAAAAGTAAATTCATTCTTGAACTAATCAGTCATAATATTTGGTCTTAGTAGCAAGAATGTTTGTACCATTATGGTGATATTGACTGAACAGTGAAATTATGCATTCTTCAATAGTTATGTTATAATTATTCTTAATACAAAAGATGTGTTGTAAATGTGAATGTGTTGTTGTCTAGTGGCTGGCATGGATTTGTGTTCTTAAGCTGCCTAGTCGTTATTTTCTTTTACTGGAACTTACAAGACAGTATACAGTTCCTTATAGAAGTTTAGTTTCTGTAGGTAATATAATATGAACGTTCAGCCACTTTGAGTCAGGAAGTTACTCAAGCCTTAGCAAGGTTTGTTGTAAGTAAAGAAATGTGCTAGATTATTTGGAGACCCACTGAGATATATCTAAGGTCACAAAATATCCCTCTTAGTGGATTAAGTTTCTGTATTGGCCTCTCCTGAACTTCTTTACATCTGTTTTTATTATGTTTTTTTTTTTCTGCAAATTATGCAAGATTTATATGGTGCAATAGTTAAAAGTTATAATTTTGAAGTAGTGTTATGTTTTGTACTAGAATTTTTTAATTTGCTGGATTTTCTTGACTTCTTGCATGGGTTACGCAATTTTATTCACAACATTTTTATTTAGATTGGAGTTCTTATTCATCTTTAACTCTTATTGTACATGAATTTGCAGGTTTATACTACATAGATAAAGCATTGCTTACATATATAACTAGTATATTTTTCTATTGTGGTATAGAGATTTGCATATATATATACATATGTATCATAGTGAACAGTGAATATCATAACTTTATATTCTGCATTATTGGCAGTTGACCATAGTAAGCACATTATACTCGCCTGTCAGGAAGCAGGTTGTCCTTAGTCTAGTCTTTTTCATTGTGTCCCATTGCCAACTATGACCAGGCATACATTGGATACAAATGGTCATAAGCCATTTGTGGTTCTGCCAATAAGCAAACTAACCACTTCAGGGGAGCAGGGCAATTCTCAGATGCAGAGAAACAATTTTATGCAAAATGAGACCTGGTCCTTCATGCAAACCAAAGTATTTCCATAAAGCAGTTATTCAATATTTTATAATGATTGCTTAATTTGACAGTTACAATTATTTTTTTTGTCTTTGTATCAGTACAATATTATTGTAATGTTCAATTCTCCCACGCTCAAGTAGAGCAGAAATGTGTATATTAAGTTATTGGTTTACTATAAGAAATGAAAATTCAACTCATTAGAGTGAAATTTTGAAAAAAACAATAACAAAAAACAGTTATTGATGAATATGTTCTTACAATGATACCTTAAGTAGATGTATATAGTGTGCATATTCAAAGACTATTTGTTTACTTTTCTTCAAAATTATTCTGACTTTCAATGATATTTTCCCATTAGGTCATAACTTTAGGTTAATTTCATGAACAATTGCATTGTCAAAGACTTCTTATATATATGAGTTGAATGAATTTATGTTGCACTCTTCACTTTTCATTTTCCGTTGGCATTCATATGTACATAATTCCACCAAAGTATTTAATATTTATTATTTGTTATTCTGTTCCTGCTAGAGAATGGTTTTTCATGGTATTAAACAAGTCATACCGTATTGATGCAAAATTGTGAAATACCTTTTCTTTTCACTTTCCTTCAATATCTATACTGTTTCTGAGAAGTTGAATACAAGAAATAATATCTTCATTACCTTCTTTCCCTCCTCCCATAGAGTTTCGTCATTTCATTTTATATCTTCATCAGATCTGGAAGAAATCCTGTTTATATGGTATTGTGGTCAAAAGTTTGCATATTGTTAATAGTTTATTTTGCTAGAGTTATAAAATGGAAAACAGACTGGAAAGGGTGTCTGGAAATCACATGACATAATTTATTTGGTCTGATTTGTCGTATAAATTGGAATATAATGAATATGGTGCTGTTTTTTCTTTTCTTTTTTTTTTCCCCCCCCCCTCAAGTAGAAAATGATCAGGTCTGTAATTTTGTTGACAGCTTCATTTAAAATTGTTTTACTGATAGACCTGTAATTATTTTCTTATATTTTGGTTTGAATTTGGAAATTGTTATGAAAAGATTAATGACATTTTTTTCTACTGAAGTGGAACAAAGATTGCTTGTAGTAAATACTGTGTTCACATTTTATTTCCAAGAGCATGTATTGTGATGAACTATTAATTATAATAAACTGTAATATATTTAAAGACTTAAAATTGATAATTTTTGTCACCCCTTGTTTCCTTTCTTGGTTTAATTTGTCAGAAATGTCTGATTCTCAATTAAACAATGTTTAGGAATAGATTCTCATGTAATCTGTCAAATCAATCAACTTGAAATTTTAAAAAAATGTCTAATGCAATGAAAAGATGGGGAAACATGACCTAATTCAACAAGTTAGCCCTATTACTTAAATCTGAATCTTCAAACCTAAATGCTTGTAAGCTGTGTGAACAATGTGAGAAGAAAATAATAAAGATGGGATGAGTAATACTTGCAGCACTAGGCCAAAAAGATACAGCAAGATTCGGTCGCTCATTACATTTGATTCGCTTCCTCTTCTTTACCCTTATATTTATTTTTTAAATTGAAGATGAATAATATGAGAAACAGATGTAGCTACATTATCAGAGACCCTTGTGCAGAAGGTCCAAACGGAGCCCCCTGATTGCCACTGACAAATTGAAATACACGTTTTAAACTGAATTTACATAGGTACGTATTATACAAATTAGATGTAGCCATGAATAATTTTGCCGACATATTTGGTTTTACAAATCTGAAGAATTACTGTATTAAATAATTAGATAATAATGACTTGATTTCGGTTTCTAGATTTTTTTAGATCAAATCAGTCAATTATTTGTCACAATTAATGCCCGGAAGAGACAACGCACCATTGTGCAAGAAGCAACAAATTTTTGGCACCTTCTTCCCATTTGAACAGTTAGTGTACTATTATCAACCTAACTAAAACAATTTCTTAAACAATATACTCACATTGGTATTGTGGTGAGTTTTTGTTGGCATTTACAATTATATGAGTTATCATTCCCAACAATATTGTTTATTACAATAGCAGCTTTCAATGTTGTCGTTAGGATTAGGAAACCGGAAAATTGAGAAAATGTCAAAAAAGTGTACTTTGGAAGGCGATAGATGGCAGCTAGCAAGAGTATGTGGCAAGTCTGAGTAGCTAGCTGAGATGGAAATAAGGAAATAGAAAATTAATATGAGAAAGACCATGCCAATGTAGCACCACTAGTTCAAGTTATAACTGAGTTTTTAGCAGAAATAACAATATATTAATATTTTGTAACTATTTACAATCATGTGAGAAAGTATGTACTGTTGTAGCATATGTAGTTTTCATATTTTTTTCTGTCAGGATAGCTGGGCTAAAGAGCGTTCAGCATCTGAGCCTGAATCTCCTCTGCAGCTGATGAGGGCAGGTGCAGAGCAGAAAACACCCAAAGGTGGTGAGAAAACAGTCAGAAAGCCCTATACTAAGAGCTAATAATAATTTCACAATACATTCCTGATCAAAATTATGAGATAATAAAAAGAAACTACAATATTGAAGCTAAAAGTTTTTAGACCAAAAAACTCTTATTGCCAGGCCCTGGTAATGAAAAAGTGGATAAAACTTGTTCTTATAAGTATTAAATTATATCCTCTAAAAACTGTAGAGGATCCGTTTTGTGGGTTCTCAATACCTACTAATCGATTGACGGTAAAACCTCAATCTGTGGTCAAGGATAGCGCCTAAACCATTCAAATGATTGTTTCCAAAATAGTTATTCCCAAATTGATCTAAACGAACAGACTTTGCAAGTTTTAAACAGATATTTGATTTTTGGAGATACTTTATATGGAGCGTCATTTTTAAAATGTTTATCAAAAATGGCTCAAACTTGTTTTTAAAACTTTTCCCTCGGATGGCGTAAAGGATGCTGAAAAGAATGGCGCAGGTTTCATTTTTGTTGAAATTCCTAATTTTTTGAAAATTGCAAAGGTTCAATTTTTTCCCCTTCAATTACAATATTGGGATTTTTTCATAGACGAAATCTGTATTTTAAAGACATATCTTGAAATAACAACATGTACAATTTTTCCAAAGTATGAATAGTTTTCACATTATTTTCTGTAAAATTTAGGCAATTTTTAAACAATGATTTTCTCAAAAAAGGCTTAATTTTTTTACTTTGAAGGTGAAGAGTCCCAAATAATTTTACAGACAGAAAATGCATTGTTTATTTTAATTAATTTTTCCATTTCAACAAATTTGCAATTTGTTTTAGGAATAGGTTGTCCCCATCATCAGTCTAAAATTAAAATCCAAATTACATTCAATTTTTTGATTTTAAAAATTACATATTATATTTTTTAAATAAAAACAAGAGGAAATATATGCTGTATATCGTGGTTACCAAACTAGCAGAGTCCATAATTTTTGTCAAGTATTGGCAAAAAGCCAAGAAGAAAAAAAATAAGGAAAAGAAAGAAGGGCCAATATTACATGAAACCTAAAACGAGATACCTGTTAACAGTAAAAGCTAATTTTTTTAATATAAATTCTTAATCCTATGTAATAAGGAATCTTATGATTTAGTGAATTGGTTACTTACAACAACAATATTTACAGAATCATTCATCTTTTATCTGTAAGGTTTCTGATATCAAACACAGATATTTATGAATTTCAACAGCAAGAATTTTTGGATTTGAGAAATCTAAGGAATGGTTGAGTTCTATGCGTTGGAAACAATTCTGACAAGAAGGAAGATTGAATATTTGATATTTCTTTTAGGTTCATTCATTCGTAATGAAAGCTTTCTACAAGTTTTCCCCAAATACATCTTTTGACAATCATTACTTTTATCCTACAAACAACATTTACTTTTATGTAATTAAGGAACATAACCTTTAACATTCTTAACAAGATTTTTCTTCTTAAATATTTTTGTTATCACCAAGCATTGATATTTGTCTTTTATAATATATTTAAGTTTATTATTAATGTTTGGAACAAAAGGAATTACTAGAAAATGAGTAATTTTTTCTTCAAAAAGAAAGAGAGAAGAATAAATTTTCTTGATGTCACAATTATATGAAATAGGGATTTTGTTATTACAAATTGCTTTAGGAAAGAAGTTCATGCTGCTCTAATTCTTGATTTTAAGTCTTTACATCCGAAAAAAAACTGCAATTGCGATAATTAATAATCTCACAGATCAAGCCATAAAGCTTTCTGATTCAATGTTTCATGAAACAAGTATAAAAATAGTTCACATGATTCTCACAAAACATAACTATCCAGAAAAGTTTGTCAACAAACATGAAAACAAAAAGGGTAAATTTTTAAAATTAGGATGAAAAAACATTCAAAAATATGGAAAAATTATTCAGTTTCTAGTAATACCTTTTGATCCTTTGTTTTTGTTGTCTACAAACATGCATATGTGGGCTCACTGCTCAGCCAACAATAAGAGGGGATGAACTAAATGTCAGAGCCCTCTTTACCATTGAACTTTTTTTATTTAAATACGACATTTTATTAGTAAATGAATAAAACCTACTCCAAGGAAAATGAAATTATAACATTCATTACACAATAAATACAAATATGTTAATAAATAGAATTATGTTAAACAATTCTCACGGCTGCCAGAGCTTGAAGAGCCAAGAGTCGTGAACTACGAATTACCCAAATTGTCATTTTAAAAGAAGGAAAAATCCGGTATTGCCTAAGAAAATGTTTTATTTCGTAAGGCAAACGGCCTCTTTCAAAATGTCCAGAGGGGCCAATCGGTGATTTAAAGGAAAAACAAGGAGGGAATGTCTTTTTTAAGGTAGTACAAGGACAGGTGTATTAGCTTCTTACCGCGAGACTCTTAACATTTCTTGTAGCAAAGTCAGGAATGTCGAATCTCTTTAAGGATGAACACTACAGCAGCGTTTCTCAGTCTTTCTCATTCCGAGGTCCCCTTCGACGAGAAAAAGTCTGAGAACCAATAGATTTTTTTATTGATATATTTTTAAATTTCATTCGTAAGGCCTGAAAATCAATAGGTTGCTAATTGTACACAAAGAACATTCTAAAAATTTAAACAATGCGAGATTCACTCAAAACAAAAAAAATTGAGCAAATTGTTGTTTTTTTATCACCGAATCAACAATACAAAGTAATCTCATAATTTAAACTATTGATTTCAACTGGTCCCTTGTTCGCCCACCGGAAGTTGAGAAACCCCGCTCTGTTGGGTTGGGGCAACTCAGTCCTTGTCGGGCGCGACCCACGTGTTGCCAGCGTCGGCCATGCAGATGCGCAGAGCCTCCTGCGCGAGGTGCAGGTTCTTCCTGGGCGGGTGGCCGAGCGCGTGCAGGCGGTCGACGTATGCGCAAAAGAGGGGCACTGCGCCCTGCGCGTCGCCCGCCTCCATGCGGTCCAGCGCGTCGGCGTAGGTGCGCTCGGCCTCCTGCACCTCGCGCGCCGCCTCCGCCACGCCCACGCGCCGCTGGCAGCCCTTGCACTTGACGGACGCCTGCGGCGGCGGTTGCGGCTGCTTTTTCTTTTTCTTCGAACCCTGCTGCTGCTGCTGCTGCTGGGGCTGCTCAAGGACGTCCTGAGACAGTCGCACTAGTTGGGAACAGCCCTTCGTGGAGCATCTGGGAGAGCAGAAACAGGAAAGTTGAAACGATTCCGCCAAGTAGATTATTAAGTAGTAGAAGTAGATAATTAAGGTACAATCTGGCAACACATATCGAAGACCATAAACAGAGACATAAGAGAATTTGAAAGATACAGAGTCGACTCTGAATGTTATGAACATTTGGTTTTAGTGAACCAAAATGATTCTTTCCGATCCACATTCATTACTACGGTGTAGGATATTTCTTACACCGTGTTCATTACGAATATACCAGATGATTCTGTTAAAATTCACTCATGAAACCTTGTGAAATACCATCTGGTTAGGACATTGTTCACGCTGTGAAAGTGTCTTCCGGAACAGAAGAAAGCGAATGTAAAGATAAAGAAGGGACTAATGAAGAAAGTGTCCCGACAAGGCAAAAGACTTTCCAGAGCATCAAGACTGTACTAAAATATTTTGAGTGCAGAAATTGTAGAATCAAGTGTCAAGAATCAAATATCTAAAATAAAAATGTATATAGCTTTATTGTATATATTAATTACTATCAACCAGCAATTGTTTTTATAGAATATTGATTGATTTAAACAAACAAGTCATAAACAATATTTTAAGATGATTCTGAGACTCCAACTACTGTGAAAAAATTGAGAGTTTTTTCTCCTGCTTCACTCAGATTGTTTCCATTCATTTCATGGATCATCTTTTCTACAAATCGTAGTTGAACGCTGGGAATCTGATCCTTATTCGGGACCCGTTTTTATTTCTTTTAAATTTATTAAACATGAAAAAACCGTTGAAACCTGTGTGATGACGGGAGAAGTGCAAACTGCTCTCGGTTTCTTGAGCTCTGGGATCTCTGCCCTAGCTTAAGCAGTAATTAAGATGGATTACGAATTCAGGTAGAAGCAAGCCTTTTTGTCAAGAATTGGTGTGAAAATATTCGCACCGTAATGCGAATAATATCCCCGCACCTGTAACGGAAGCCGTTGTCCATGTGTTCGAAGACGGGCCAGTCCTCGCAGCACGCCTGGCACGTGCAATTGAACCAGTAGCGCGACAGCAGCGCCTTCTTGCGCGAGGCGAGCGGGAACTTGACGAAGGCGGGGCCGTAGTTCTCCGCCAGAGCGTCGCCTGCCCGCAGCGGCCGCAGGGCGCGCAGCACTAGCGTCGTGCCCACGAAGTACCTGCAGAGGTTAGGGCGGACGTTCGCCAAAACAGCTTTTGCAAAGAGAAAATAGCACACTAAACTCAATTGACAGTTCGTAGTAAGAGGTTATGTAAAGGGTGAAGTACATTTCCTCATTCAGTACTAAACGTTAGGATTTTAGGATTTTAACATTAGGCATCCTTTGTCTAAATTGTTAGGACAGTTTGCAATTCACCGAAAAACTATTTTTTTTAAATTTACTTTGTAAATAATTACAAGAAAATGAAAGAAACTCAACTTTAGAACGCAACACAACGAAAAAGTGTTTGCGTCTGTACGTAGAATAACATGTCATTCTCTGTTTGAATGAATGTCGAAAAACACAGTCAGAATATCAAAAATAATAATTAGTGTAACTAAAACTGAATAGTTTGAACTCTTGAGTTTAGGGAGAATGAATCATCGATATACAATATTCAATGAGATGTGTGTGCCTGCAGGTGTTTGTCACAGTGCTCTGATCATTGGTTCACCAGTTGAAAGTTCAAACAAATCTCCGGCTCCAAATTGAACTTTTTGTTAAGTTCGTTGGTACCATCTCGGTACACGAACGTAATCTGATATCAATTTCTTTCTCAACGCTTATCATAACGCTTAACTCAAGACTGCACTTTTCAGTTCAGCGTTTACCTTCTTTTTTAAACATTTCCATGGGGGATTTGAACGTACCCCTCGTACAAATCTTCCGCGTAATTCTGCCAACCCAATTTGCGAACCACTGGCCTAGAGGATGAACATGTAATTGTTGCGATTTTTGTATGGTCTTCCTCATTCCGCTTAGTGTAATGGGTACCTGAGAAACTGATTGTGTTCACTTACTCCTGAGAATATGGCGGGTCATATTTACAAGTCATTAATACTTTTGGATTAATAGGACAAAAAACAATAAATTTGGAGAAGAAAGATATTTATTTTTTTCAAATTTTGTATAAAGTTTTCATTATTTTCCCTGTTTTGTATTGTTAGATCATGATTAAATATATCCAACAAGATCGTTTCGCTGAAGATATTAAAACGAATCTTATTCTGCAAAACCCATAAAAGAGGAAATCAGGATAATTCCACGACTCCTGGATGTGAAGAAAGACTTTAATACCAATCATCTATCAGCTGGTTAATGAATTGCCACGAATGAAAAGGGTCGCAGTCGCCTGCCAATATCTGAAGGCAACCCGCTTGATGAGAATGCGTTTCACAGTTTCGGGTTGCTGCGACCCCTGAAATTATGGGACATCGAGGAGGAGGCGAAGAAGAAGGAGAAATAGAAGGGAAAGAGGGGAAGGAAGAAAAAGGAAGAAAAGAAAATGACAAAGGAGAGGAAGATGAAGAAAGAGACAATGAAGAGTGATACGAAGAAGAAGAAGAAGAAGAAGAAGAAGAAGAAGAAGAAAGGGAAAAAGGAGGGAGAGGATGAGGAGAAGAAGGGGAGAGGGAAGTAGGAGAAGAAAGAACCAAAACGAAGAAGAAGAAGAAGAAGAAGAAGAAGAAGAAGAAGAAGAAGGAAGAGGAGGAGGAGAAAGAAACGATGTGTTCTGACTTTGCGCAGTTCTGCATGTTCAGTATTTACGTAACGAGTCATGTAATCTGCACATTGTTATTTCTTGCTTATGAAGCCACCGTACAAAAGGGTCACGACAGCTAGTGGAGAGGTGCTAAAGGCATTGTCACAAAACTAATGGTTTTCCTTCCCAATATATTCTAAATCAAGTGTTGGACATTGAAAAACTAAACGTTCTTGCCTGGTTACCTGGAGATAATTGAATCAAACGTTGAGACAATTCTATATTTCTGAGCAGCAATTTAGAAGCCTGCGTGGGCTGCATATAGTCGCATATTTTAAAATGATCAAAGACAAAGTAAAAGGAGCATAAAAAAACTTGAAGCAGTAAGTGATTCGAGAGCATCGGCTTCTGAGGGCTTCCAATAAGTGTAGAGCAAGTTACGAGTAAATCCCTCGAGGTGGCCGTATTCATTACCCACTGGAATGTGAAATCTGTCGCCGACCTACACGTCGGCTTGCGGGTTTTAGTCCTCCAGGTATCTCTTCCATTGGTCCCCGCCCCAGTTAGGACGAGAGAGAGAGAGAGAGAGAGAGAGAGAGAGAGAGAGAGAGAGAGAGAGAGAGAGAGAG